CTTTCCTATGCCTGTATCTTGTAGGTTTTTCCCAATGTTTTCTTCTAAGAGATTCATAGTTTCAGGCTTTACATTGAGGTCTTTGAGCCATTTGGAATTGACTTTTGTGCAGGGTGAAAGATAGGGGTTTAGTTTCATTCTTCTACAAGTGGAGATCCAGTTTTGCCAGCACCATTTGCTGAACATGCTGTCTTTCCTCCAGTTAATGTTCTTGGCCCCTTTGTCAAATCATGATGTAAATTTTTATGCTTCCTTATCAAATATATTTTTTTAATTTGTTGATTTTTTTGTGTATATCATCACACAGAACATTGTATATGTGTGCACAGATGTGTGTGCATATTCACACATGTGTGACAAATATGTATGTAAATGTGGAGGCCAGAGATCGACTTCAAGTGTGTTCTTCAATCACTGTCCAACTTGGTTTTTGGGACAGGTTCTTTCACTGGCCTGAGGTTCACCCAAATCAGCTAGGCTGTCTGGCCAGCAAGCTCAAGGGATTGCCCCCTCCCCAGCTCTGCAATTATAAGTGTCCATCATCACTCTGGGCTTTGTACATGGGTGCTGGAGATGGAAATGAGGTCCTCATACATGCACTTTGCCAATGAAGCCACTCCCCAGCCCCAGGACATTGACTCTGAAAGGTTGTGTCTCCATTTTCAATGGTGTTGAGGATAGCTTCTAAAGGATGTGCGTGTTCAGCACAACTGCTGGCCTACAGTGGGAAAATTAGAAAGACAACTGCTCTGAGCTACAAATCTGTAGGCTTAGCATTTCACAAGCCGATGCTTCCACTGTGTGAAGATGAAGGGTGGCCATTTCTCCAGATGCAGCCCATAGCAGGTTCGTGGCTGGGCTAGATCTTCGGCTGTTTCTTTGTCCTTCTCACTCCTCAGCCAGATACGGGGCCACAACATGGCCAGAGGTGTTGAGGATGAGGAGATACTGGCTGCTGGCGAGGCAACACGTATGTGGTTAAGGATGTAGGATGAAGTTGTGGAGAGGTTAGAATCCCAGTGGGTGTCCTGGACAAGCTGCTTCACTTCTATGAGCCTTAATTTTCTCATCAGAAATTAGGATAATGGTATTTTGTATTGTAATGAACTAAATTCATACTTGATGGCTTTTAAAATGTGAATTCATCTCACAAAAATTTTCACAGGAACCTCTTATAGTGTAACCTCAGGAGCAGAAGACCCCCATGTCTCAACCTTCTCTGCTACTATTCCGTTCTCTTCCTCTTTTTGCCTGACCCCAGGCCCATTTCTCTCCCAGTGATGCTGCATCCCCTGCATATCTCCTATGGTGGGCTCCTAGCTGGACCAGTTGTCTTCCTCTTCTTATTGCTGCCACCAGAACATGCTCCTTTCTCCTCCTAAAGCCTTAAGCTTTGCGCCTCATGGCCTCAGAGGCGCCACCCAGCCCTGTTCACTGTAGTTGTCTGTACCCTGGGTCCCTCCCCACTTCTTGATCTATTTTAGCTCCTATCTCACTATCACTGCATCAAAATTCTCAGTGACTGCAGTGTCAAGGATGACTTTTTAATACTTTATTCTTTGGTTCATTAGCCTCTGGTTTTTCAGTGATTTTGGTCTTTCCCCTTAGATAGTTATCCCCATTACAGGGGGAAAAAAGAATCAACCACTATACAATCTGAAGTTATCTTTTTTTATTTAATTGCCACCTCCCATCACTGCAGCTCATGTGTGCTAATACAGCAATTAGCAGTCCTTCAGCTCCCCTGTCTTTCAGCCTGTTGAGTCTACAACCTCTTCAGATAGCTAAAGCCCTCACTCAGGTCTTCATTTCAGTAACCGCCCAGCCTAGACCCGAAGTCAGGCATTCGTAGTCCCCAAGCTCCACTAATAGGAACCAACTCCTTTGGCTAAGCCACAAACTTATCTGATTCTCCTTCTCTGCCCCTCCACGGTAGCAACCCATGGCTAGAGAAAAGCATCAGCTACTGTCTTTCCTGCTAATGACAGCCTGGCAGATACCCTCCACCAGCTCCAAAGCCCTCAGTCTGTCTAGGATCCAGAATCTGATTCTACCAGCTCACTCCCATAGTTGAGACATCTGGTTTTGCTGTCTTCTGCCTGGAATGTTCTTTCCATGGTTGTCTGTATTCCTGGCTTCCTTCTTGCCCACAGTTGCTAAGTTGAATGTCGTCTTGCAAGTGAAACTCCTCTGTGAGTGTGCACATGGGAACACACACACACACACACACACACACACACACACACACACACTACCTTTCATTTCTTTTTCCTTATCATTTTCCAACATACTAGAGAGCTTAGTACTATAACACATGACACATTTTGCCTAGTAATGCTTGTTTGTTGTCCCATCTAAAATATAAGTTCCACAAGGAAAGGTGTTTGCCTATTGCAAATGTTCAGTGAGTGAAGGAGTAAAGATGGAAAATGTAGGGGCTTACTTAGGACATAGCTCAGTTGGTAAAGTGCTTTGTGTACAAGTCTGAAGACCTGAGTTCAAGCCCCATAACCTATGTTTAAAAAAAAGCTAGGCTTGGTGGCCTGTGCGTGTAATCTTAGTGCTGGGGACACAGAGATACACGGATCCCTGAGCAGTTAACCTTGTCCTACTTGACCAGTCCGAGGCCAATGAGAGATCCTATCTCAAATAAAAACACGGGCAGTATCCGAGGAATGACATCCTATTCCTAGGGCCTCCACAGGCATGTTTATGCATGTGCCTAGACACACACACACACACACACACACACACACACACACAATAAAAAAAAAAGAAAACACACAAAACACACACTCTCTCAAAAAAAAAAAAAATACAACAG